TTCCAGGCCCTGGCTCCCCGGCAGGTGCTGGATTTGGAGGATCTGGTCTTTGCCCAGGGCAGTCACTTCATGGCCAACAAGCGCTGCCAGCTCCCGGACGGCTCCTTCCGCCGCCAGCGCAAGGGCTACGAGGAGGTTCACGTGCCCGCCCTCAAACCCAAACCCTTCGGGGCTGACGAGGTCTGGCCCCCCAAAAAACGGGGATTCTGCACGGCCTGGAGAGGCTCCTGAGTGGGATTGGGATAGGGATGGGGAAATGGGGTGCAGGGAGGGTGGAATGGGGGTTTGGGGTGGAGGGGGTGCTGATATGGGTGGGGTTGGGGTTTTAGGTTTTCCAAATGAAATATTCCCAAAAATCTTGGAAAAGGGGAAGCTCCAAGGAGATCTCAGAGCTCTAAAGGGGATCCAGGAGAGCTGGAGAGGGATTGGGATAAGGGATGGAGGGATGGGGTGCAGGGAGGGTGGAATGGGGGTTTGGGGTGGAGGGAGTGCTAATATGGGTGGGGTGGGGGTTTCAGGTTTTCCAAATGAAATATTCCCAAAAATCTTGGAAAAGGGGAAGCTCCAAGGAGATCTCAGAGCTCTAAAGGGGATCCAGGAGAGCTGGAGAGGGATTGGGATAAGGGATGGAGGGACAGGACACAGGGAATGGGTTCAAGCTGGGAAAGGGGAGGTTGAAATGGGATTTGGGGATGGAATTCCCAGAGGAGCTGAGGCTGCCCCTGGATCCCTGGGAATGTCCAAGGCTGGGCTGGAATCTGGGCCAGGGGAAGCTCGATGGTTTTTAGGGGCTTTAAAATCCCCTCCAGCCCAAACATTCCTGGGAAACTGGGCAGCAGGAAAAGCAGATTTCCTGGGAAATTAAACTCCAGGAAAAGCAGCTTTCCAGGGAAATTAGTGACCAGGAAAAGTACATTTTTATTTAATTTGGCACCAGGAAAAGCAGCTTTCCTGGGACATTTGGTACCAAGAAAAGCAACTTTTGTGGAATATTTGGTGCAAGGAATAGCAGCTCTGTCAGGAAATTGGGGAGCAGGAGAAACAGCTTTCCTGGGAAATTGGGTACCAGAAAATGCAGCTCTGTAGGAAATCAGGCTCCAGGAAAAACAGTTTTTTTGGAAAATGGGGCACCAGGAAAAGCAGCTTCCACAGAAAACTGGGAATCAGGAAAAGCAACTTTTTTTTGGAAATTAGGGAGCTGGAAAAGCAGCTTTCCTGGGAAATTTGGTACCAAGAAAAGTAAATTTTTATAAAATTGAGTACCAGGAAAAGCAGCTTTTTTGGGAAATTTGAGACCAGGAAAAGCAGATTTCCTAAGAAGTTGGGTACCAGAAAATGCAGCTTTTTTGGGAAATCAGGCTCCAGGAAAAGCAGAATTTGTGGGGTTTTTGGCACCAGGAAAAGCAGCTTTCTTTGGAAATCAGACTCCAGGAAAAGCAGAATTTTTGGAATATTTGGTGCCAGGAATTGCAGCTTTCCTGGGAAATTGGGTAACAATAAAAGCAGCTTTCCTAAGAAATGGAGTAACAGAAAATGCAGCTTTTTTTGGAAATGAGGCTCCAGGAAAAGCAGGTTTTGTGGGATTTTTGGCACCAGGAAAAGCAGATATTTTTTAGAGATCTAGGTGCCAAGAAAAGCAGCTTTCCTGGGAAATTGAGTCTGATAAAATGCAGATTTTTTATTTTAAATCAGGCTGCAGGAAAAGCAGATTTTGTGGGGAATTGGAGCCCCTTGGGGTGGGATGGGATTATTTAAAGTCCTTTCCCACCAAAACCATTCCAGGATTCTGTGATTTGCCTTCCCCTTCCCCTTTTTAACCCCACAATTTCCCCACTTCTGCAGGAATTTCCCCTTTTCCCATTTCTCATCTCCTTTTTTAACCCCTCAATTTCCCCTTTTTTGCAGGAATTTCCCCATTTTTTTTCTCATTTCTCCTCCTCTGCTGAGTTTCCCCTCCTGGGGTTTTGCTGAGCTCTGCTTTTCCTGGAGCTGGGAATGGCTCATGGGAATAAATTTCAAATTTGGATTTTTGCATTGAATCTGAGAGAAGGAAAAATTAATTTTCCCTCTTTTCCAGCACTGAAAAATTAGGAATTGTCCTTTTAGGATGAGGAAATATTTTAGGATGAGGGAATTTCTTGTGCATCCATTAATTCCAGGTTTTTCTCACCCTGAACACTGGGATCAGGTTGGGTTTTGAGCATTTGGGTTTTCCATGGAATCTGAGAGGAGTAAAAAATTACTTTTCCCTCTTTTCCATCCCTGATTAATTAGAAATTACCATTTTAAGATGAGGTAATTTTTTAGGGTGAGGGAATTTTTGTCTATCAATTAATTCCAGGTTTTTCCCCAGCCTGAGCACCAGGATCAGGTTGGGTTTTTGAGGATTTGGGTTTTCCATGGAATCTGAGAGGACACAAAATGAGTTTTCCCTCTTTTCCAGCACTGAAAAATTAGGAATTGTCCTTTTAGGATGAGGGAATATTTTACAATTAGGGAATTTTTGTGTATCCATTAATCCCAGATGTTTTTCCACCCTGAACACCGGGATCGGGTTGGATTTTGAGGATTTGGGTTTTCCATGGAATCTGGGAGGACACAAAATGCCTTTTCCCTCTTTTCCAGCCCTGATGAGTTCAGAATTCTTTCGGAATTTTTGTGTGCATCCCCTTTTCCCCGGCGGGATCATTCTGCTCCTCCCCTGAGCCTCTCCCCATTTATTCCCCCCATCTCCATTCCCAAATTCCCATTTTTCCCTGGTTTTTTTTCCCTGTTTTCCCAGCAATTGGTGTCCGTGGAGAAGCTGCCCAAGTACGCCCAGGCCGGCTTCGAGGGCTTCAAAACCCTCAACAGGATCCAGAGCAAACTGCAGCGGGCGGCGCTGGAGAGCGACGAGAACCTGCTGCTCTGTGCCCCCACGGTGAGGGACGGCAATCCGGGGGGCCCGGGGGGCCTGGGGGGGCCTGGGGGGGCCTGGGGGATTCACGGGGATTTGGGGGATTTGGATCTCGGGGATTCGGGGGGTCCTGGGGATCTGGGCGGATCCCAGGATTCGGGGGATCCTGGGGATTCTGGAGGTCCAGGGGATCTGGGGGATCCCGGATTTGGGGGATCCCAGGAATCTGGGGGATCCTGGGGATTCTGGAGGTCCAGGGGATTGAGGGGATCCCCGGAATTTGAGGGATTCCTGGGGGGTCCAGGGGATTCAGGGGGATCCAGGGGATTTGGGGGATTCCTGGGAAGTCTGGGGG